TGCGAGATAGGCACATTAGTGGAGTAAAAGACAGTAGGCTTGGAGGCATTAAGCATTTGACCAGAGCATGCACAAAAATCCGCGAGAACCCCCTTAATAACGTCGACCTGCGAGGAAGAGGCCTCTGCAAATAAGAGGAGATCATCAGCAAAGAAAAAGTGAGTTAAAGGAGGCCCATTGGCTTTAAGAGTAATCGATTTCCACAATCCTTGCCTAACAGCCAAAGAAATGCATGTGCAAGAAGCTATATGCAAATTAACAAATAAGGCGAAAGGGGATCTCCCTGTCTAACTCCTCTAGAAGGAAAAAAATTCCTGAAACAACTTCCCATTCCAAGAGACTCCCATCAAAGCTGAAGACACACATTCCATAATAATTCATGTAAGACTAACAGGAAGATCTAAATCCAAAAGAGAATCCGTGAAAAACTCCCATCTTAGTCTATCATAAGCCTTTTCCAAATCAACCTTTATAACCATAAAACCCTTTTCTTCCTTTTTTGCTACGCATCGAATGGATTACTTTTTAGGCTATCAAAATATTATCCATGATTTTACAGTTTGGAACAAAACTGGTCTGGGTAGGTCCTATAACAGTAGGTAAAATAGGCTTAACCCGATTCACAATAACTTTAGTAATGAGCTTTTACATAACATTACATAAACTTATAGGCTTAAATTACGATATAGATACTAGGGAACCAACTTTATGAATGAGAACCAAAATTGTTTCATTAAGAGCAGGATCAATAATATGGCCATTAAACACCCGACGAATTTCTGAGCAAATGGTTGGGGTAACCACAGACTAATGCTTTTGAAAAAAACTTGGATAGAGCCAATTAGGGCTTGGAGCTTTCCACAGCTTCATATCAAAGAGTGCTTTCCTAATTTTCATATCAGAAACCGGCTTAACCAGCGTAGTTAACAACTCATTTGTAATGGCAGGAAACATACCATTAACAGGAAAAATAGGAGAGACCGCATGTTCCTCAGTGTACAGGGTGGTATAAAACTCTATCCCCATCTGCTTCAGTGTAGCCACGTTGTCAATCCAGGTTCCATCTTCATTTTGTAACATCTCAATCCAATTCCGCTTTCTTCACTTCACAGTTTTTAAGTGAAAGTATGAGTTGTTCCTATCCCCCCACTTCAGCCAATTTGCTCACGACTTTTAGAACCAAATGAGGTCCTCTTGGTACAACACCCTATACAATTCAGTTTGCAAATCAGCCTCTAGATCTTGCAAAGTTTGAGAATCTTGAACCTCAAGAGCCCGTTGAATTCCAGAGATACGAGCAAGGAGGTTTCTTTTCCATTTAAAAACATTACCAAAGACCTGAGAACTCCATTCCTTGAGTTGATCAGTGAAGGCAGCAATAGTATCCTTCAAATTTTTTTTCCGAAATCCAAGAAGATTGGACAAAGTCTAAAAAATCCAAATGAGTCAGCCAGGCCGCTTGAAAGCAGAACGACCTAGCACTGTGAGGGGGGGGGGAGCAGTTAAGCTACAAAACTTGATAAGAATGGGTTTATGATCTGAAAATACCCTGGGAAGGTGGATCACAGAAGCCTCTGGAAAGTGAAGATGCCAATTTGAGTTACAAAAAGCTTTGTCCAGTCTCTCATTAAGCCTACCCCTCCTCCACGTCAACTGAGGACCCTTAAAACCTAGGTCCAAAAGTCCAGAATTGAGAAACCAAGACGAAACTGGGACAAATCTTAGTTCTCCTTTGAGATCCACCACTTCTTTCATCCGCCGAAAAGATAGAGTTGAAGTCTCCCGCAACCAACCATGGTTCAGAGATTCCAGCCTGAATTCTCTCTAAATGGTGCTAAAGATTCCTCCGCATACTTGCCACTGAACTGCTGTACACCGCTGTAAACTTCATTTTAAAAATATTGTTTGTGACTCTCTAAAACCTTAACCAACCAATCCTCCTTCCACAAAATCCATTTACCCCCATAAAGCCCAAAGCTTTCACCCTTTGAGAGAAGGGAAAATTGAGTTTACGAATAACATTATCAGCATGCAAGCCACTAATCCTTGGTTCTAACAAGACCAGGACTGAAGGCTGATGCACCTACAGATTTAGCAGTAAATGACGCAAAAACTCGATGCTAGCTGCACCCTAAGTATTCCATAAGAAAACCGACATAAAGGCAAAGCAAAAGAAGAGATCAGTCTCTTAAATAGGGATCCCTTATCTCGTTAGAATACAAAGACTCTTCAGCCTCATCATGATTCTTCTTAGGTCGTGGGGAAATCTCAGTGTTGTCACAGTTATCATTCAATTCTTCAACCATAATGACATCTAAATGCTGTAAGTCTGGAGGTATATGATGGCTACTAGTTTCCCCAGGCCTTGTAGCGCAAGCTTTGGTTTGGACAAAGGAGTTCTCATTTGTATCATTTTGAGTATGGAAAATAACCTCATTACCCTTGGGTGGTTGCACAACTGAATGTGCCAGAGGGTCCAGGCTATTACAAGCTGACACTGCTTGTATTTGAAAGCAAAAAAATTTTCCATTAGAATCCGCTTTTTTATTCCTAACACCTCCCCCAAGACAATTATTAGATTCATTCCTAACCAAGTTGGTAGGATGTTTCTCCTTTCACCAGAATTTTGAGAATGATCTACAGGATTCATATTTACTGCAGACGCTTTTTGTCCTTATTATCCATGTACTCCTGAGCTATGCAAGCCATGCAAAGCAACGTCACCAGCAGTAAAGTCCCTATGATCCTCCTCCCCACTATGTGCCATATCTCGTTGAAGCACCTCAAATCGATTACCCAATTCTATTCCAACAGTATCCCTGTTTGTATATTCTCCTCTATCCCCTGGTCGCCCACCCTTGCGTGTAACCACCATCCAAGGTCCGTATCTAGTAGTGTCGCTAGCCGGGAAATGCGAGTTATGGTGACTAGGCGCAGAAATAGAGACGGCTATAAACTCATTATTTTCTATCTTGAAAGGACAATAATTAGTCTGATGACCCACCTTACCACGTTCATAACACAACTCAGGCAAACTCTCATACTCAACTCGCTGCACCTTCCCATCAAGTAGGAACTGTCCCACCAATGGCTGTTGTGGGTTAACAGAGACAACAAGTCTTGCAAACTTCCCTCGTATCAGATCACTAGTATTATAATCAATTTTGAACACTTTACTAATGGCTGCCTTTATAGCTCGCAGCACTGCTTTATGATATAGATGCAGAGAAAGAACCGACACCCGTGCCCATATCGTTAAAGCTCATACAAAAGTATCAGAAATATCAAATTTTGGTGTCCATGGTTCCACCATTAAATAGCTTCCCATAATAGTCCAACGACCATCCAACAAGGCATGTTGATAATCCACTTCATACGAGAAACGAACCATAAAGAACCCATTACCTAACTCCCATACCTAAGGATTGTTAGTTCCATAAAGAGTGAATTATAGTACAAACAACCTTATAGCTAATGTATCTCCCCATTATACGACATACCATCCCTCTTTTCCATAGCCCAGACAACTTCTCTATAAGCCTTGCGAATATCGATACTGATGGAATAACATTGACTACTGAAACTTGTATCATCCGGAAGAACTTCAAAATCATCATCTCCAACACCCATATCAAAATCATCCAAGTTCCCAGCCATAACTTTTGTCTTTAAAAGAAATCTCTAGTTGCACAAAAGACTCCTCATCTTCACAATGACGAACCTTCTTAATTGCTCGGTTGGATTCAAGCAGCAGCGGGGGTGCCTTCACGGCCGACAAGTTTGCTGTCATAAAAACCCTAGGAGAGGTCTAAACAGTCTATAATAATTTTATTAATTTTAAATTTAATAAGAGGTGATTTGGATTGGTGGATTATGAAATCTATGTAGAAATATTTAGATTTATAAAATCAATGGAATTTATTACATTCTATTACTAACTCTGTTTCTAAATACTTGTCACATTTTGAATTTCATTTCTCTTAAAAAAACCATTAAATTTGTCTAAGTTGTAATAAATTATTGAGTAATTTTACTATATTACCTTCAATTTAGTATATTCAAACATCAAATTTTTTAGGAATTGAAGCATTAATTATTAATCATGTATAAAGGGTATGAAAAAATTTATTACTTCTTAAAACCACAGATGTGACAAATATTTTGAAATATAGTATTTTATCAAATGTAACAAGTATTTAGGAAGAAATATAGTATTTGGCTGAAAAACATTATTTATGAATTTGAAAAATATTTTTATAATAAAATTAAATGATTTAGACTACCTTATTAATAAAAAATAATATAATTGAAAACATTTCTATTTAAAACTGAGCTAGGATAAAATCTATTAATTCTAGGGATTGAGGCTTATTTTTCCTTAGATGATAAATCTATAAAATGTATAAATTTCATAGTGTAAATTCCATCGATTCAAACCACTTCTACAACTTTTAAGGAATTAGCTTAACTATAATCAATACGGTACAATTAAAAAATTAAATATATATAAATTTGTAAACAAATTTTATAAATTCAATTGTATTTATGCCATATCAACTTAGTTAATAAGGTGATGGAAGAGATAGTATTCAATTGATTCGATTTGAACTGAACCAGTGTAAATCTAATAAATTTTTTTTTTATTTTTAAAAAAATAAATCAATCTAAATTGTGAATTAAACAAAATTGAATTTGATTGAACTTTATTTTCAATTTGACTTAATTTTTTTTAAATCAATTATTAAAACTGAATCAATAGCTTAGATTTGGTTCAATAAAAAACTGAAAGTAAATTAGCTCGAACCGGTGTATAAAATTGCCCTTATAATTTATGTCTTGTTTCTGATTTAATTACTCCTCTTCAACTCTTATATTTGTTCATTTTACATTGTCTACACGTCTACATCCATCGCATCTCTCTTTTTCTCTTACATGAGACCCACAAATATTGGTGGGTCCCTTTCCCCTACAAAATAATCAGAGCCCGTATACAAAGCAGGAACCTCTGTATTTTCACTATTTTGTACCTTGTCTCTCTCTCTCTCCCATTTTGGCATACCTTTGCTTCTTCTTTCCCTACCTAGGGTTTTCTAATTCCAAATCTGCTTGATATTTTCATTACCAGATTCTACTATCAATGTGCCTCCACCTTTCATCTTCTTCCAGGTACTGTTCACTATACCTGATCTCTCACTTGCTTCTCCACTTACTCTTGTTTGCTGCTTTTTTTGATGTCGTTTTATGTGTATATTTTAATGCGTTTTCGTTTTCCTGGATTTGATCTTCAAATTTTTTTTTTTTCTGTAAGGTTCTGTGTACTCTGATTCGTGCGAAAAGTACTACTGGCAGAAAGATGCTAGAGTTGCATCTCTCGCTCTCTCTTTCTCTCTCTTGCTTTTTTGTTTTCCTTTTTTTTTTTTTTGAATTTGATTTTACTTTTGTAAGAGCGTTTTGCTATTGTTTAGATTTGTTTCGCTTAATTAATCAGTATCTAGAGTTTGATGAGCTGCAAGTATATGTGAATCGGCTCGACCTCTACTTCTAATTTTGGTTTTCTCAAATTTTGAAAATTGAGCATTTTTTTTTGTTCTTTTGTTGTATTTGATTCAGAAGCTTTACAGGAATTAAGTTAGTTGCTTCAAATTTTGATTTCACAAGGAAAGAAATGCAATGATAAGAAGAGTTTTGCTTTACTTGAGAAAATAAGGACAAGTATAAGAAGGAATTACATCCTCTTTCTATTTCATGTTCAGTTCTCTCCTTTTTTTTTTTTTTTTTTTTTAAGGCGGCATGAATCATCTCACTTCGCTCTCCCACTCTACCTCATTGTTTTAGCTTAGCACTTCTTTTTGCATGTCGTTTTTCGTGTATATTTTTAATTTGCGTTTTTCGTTTCCGGAATTTGATCTGTACAAATTTTTTTGTTTTTCTGTCAAGGTTCTGTCGTTTACTCTGATTTCAGTAACGCGAAATATAGTATCTACTGGCAAGAAAGGATTGCTCAGAGTTCACCTCACTTGCTCTCTTCTTTCTCTCTCTTTCTGCTCTTTTGTTTCCATTTCTTTTTTTTTTTATTTTTCTGAATTTGGACTTTTTATCCTGTTTGTAAAGAAAAAGCGTGGGTTAGCTAGGTTGTTTATTACGATATTTGGTTCTTCGCCTTAATTAATCATGTTCTAGAAGTTTGAATGAGCTGCAAGTCATAAATGAGTGGATTCGGCTCCGAGCCGTCTACTATCTATTTTGGTTTCTCTCGGCACAAATTTTTTAGAAAAATAAGCATTCCTTTTTTTTCTGTTCTTCACTTGTTGTATTCTTCCTTGTTGGGGAAAGAGAAAAAAAAAAAATTATAAAAAAATAAAAATTTTTTTTCACGCCTTCCAGAAAATGCTTCTACAGGAATTAAGTTTAATGTTGCTTCAATTTTGAATTTCACAAATTGCGAAAAGAAATGTCAATGATAATTAAGAGTTTTGACCCCTTTTAACTTGCGATTACTAATAAGGACAAGTATAGCAGAAGGAATTACATCTCTTTCTATGGTGTCCACTGTTCTCAGTTTCTCCTCCTTTTTTGTGGTTTTTTTTTTTTTCTCTTGGTATTGTGTGACTCAAAACATCCTGTCCGTATTTGTTGCAAAAATAGCCGAGAGCTAAGAAAGCTAAAAATATTGGGTAATTGTGAAAAACTTGCAATAAAGTCCTTTGTTCATATTAAATGTGCTGCGCCTATAAGGTGAAGTGGCGGCACTTTTTCTATTAATACAATTTCTGGGGGAAAAAAACTTGCTTAGCAAACTGTGGTGAAAGTGGGTGAATCACGAATTTGATAATATTATACTATTGGAAGAGAATAGCTTTTGTATCCGTTGCCATGTTAATTTACCCACATATTTTGCGGGGCCGATTTCTGTGGCCCTTTTAACACTGTAAAAATTGGTATTGGGACATTGTCGGTTTGCCCCTTGTATACTTTATTGGCTACAGTCGTTGTGTTTAGTATTTGATGAATTATCCAAGGGAGCTTCGGATGGTCATGTCCAGCATGTTTTTTTTTTTTTTTTTTTTTCTCTGGTTGTGTGACCAAACATTGTGATTTGTTTGCAAAATAGCAGAGAGCTAAGAAAGCAAAATATTTTATTGTTGAAAAACTGAATAACGTCCTTTGTTCATTTATGTGCTGGCCTATATGGTAGTGCACTTTTGTATACAATTTCTGGAAAACTTGAGCAAATGTGTGAATGGGTGATCACGATTTGATAATATTATATATTGGAAGAGAATAGCTTGTATCCGTTGCATGTTAATTTACACATATTGGGCCGATCTGTGCCCTTTTAACTGTAAAAAAGAAATGGTATTGGACATTGTAGGGTTCTGCCCCCTTGTTATTTTTGGCTCATGTTGTTTTAGTTTTGATGAATTTCAGGGCTTGGATGTTCAATGTCAGAGAGTGTGAAAGGAGCTCACAGACTGTTCATACTTTAAAATATCTCTATCAAAGAAAGTTACAGAGTTAGTGGGCCTCTTCTTCAGATCTTTGAAGGTTCTTTCATCTGAAGTTTCTGGCAAATGGATTAGTATAAACTTTAAGTTCATTAAAACCTTTTTGTTGAACTGTTTCTGCACAAATTTGGAGAGTTAACAGCCAAATATATGGGGTCACATTCTCGCATTTGTGAGATTGTTGAAGCAAGGGAAGAGCTGGATTCGGCAAAAAATTCAAAAAGAACTTACCAATCTCATTCTGGATTAAGTCTGGGTGGCAGTGATAGAGATCCACCTGTGCTTAAACTGGGATACAGAGATTCTTTAGAAGATGATATCAATCAACTTTTTGAGGCTATCAGTCTTAAGAACTCATCTAAGGGTCTCAGTTTTTCAAGTCAAGCAGGCCCAAGCTCAAGTCCTTTAAGGAAAAATGCCATGAAAAGGCCAATAACAGTAGGTGTGCCTCATTCGCCAAGAATTGGGAATGCTGATACTGTGTCTCTGAAGCAAGCACTAAGGGATCTTTGCATTTCTAAAGCATCAGAAATGGCTGCTATGAAACGATTGTCAAAGTCAAGTGCCTCGCCAAGTCTCTCAGAAGCTGGAAGGATAAAGAGTTTGTATAATTCAGTTGTAGTTGAGACTAGTAGATCTGGGCTTCCCATTGATGAAAGCAAAAGGACTCTGGTTGAGATATCTCTAGTGCCAGAAGAAAGCAAATCAAATTATTTTGAGAAGACATCTCAACAACCTCAGGTGCCTAAGATAAAGTCATCAAACCAGAGTGCTCGTTCTTCTTCTCAGTCCCAAGTACTGAAATCTCCCCAGCAAAGTGCTCATTCTTCTCCTCGACTTGTTTTTCCAACAAGACAAAGTGGCCCTGAGACTCTATCGATGGATGATGAGATTTCTTCTTCATCCAGAAAAGTTGGAATGCAAGCTTTAAAGTCACCTGACCAAAGTGCTCTCTCTTCTCCTAGATTTGCTGTACCTAAAAAGCAAAGTGGTACTGAGGCCACCTTGATTAAAAACGAGGTTGGTTCTGCAACAAGAAAAGGTGGAAGTCAAGCAATAAAGTCACCTTCCCAAAGTGCACATTCTTCTCCCAGATTTTCTGTTCCATTGATGCAAAATGGTACTGGGAACACGTCTGTGCAGAATGATATCAATTCTGCATCAACACAAGTTGGAACTCAAGCATTGAAGCCAGAAATGGTACTGAAAGAGAAATGTGTGCCTGCAACTTCCTTATCATGTTCTGATTCTGTTGACAATACACATGATGAAGATTTAAGTGTTGCCACTTCAACAAAGGTAACAAGAAAAGCATCAGCACCTAGATCAGGTCGAAAAGGCAAGTTATACTCTCATCCTTCAAATAGTGGAAACAGAGTAAGCAAGCTCACAAGAAATACTCCACGTTTAGCAAAAACGATTGTGATGAACAAGAGTTCTGTTAAGAAGAAAATAAAGCAGGGTGTAGCTACCGCTGCCCGCATTACTAATGAAGGCATTAACAGCTTGTCTCCTAATACCAGTCCGTTGGTTTGCCATAAATGTCAATGTGCTTTAAGAAATGTGACTGAAGATTCAAAGCAAGATTGTGCAGTCTCCTTCTCTGCCAGTTTTAGTGCTGAGGTTAGCTCAAGCAATGTAGAAGATGGTTCTAGTAAACCAGACATCAGTTCAAGCAATTGCAGTGGAAGCAGATCTGTTGTAAAAGCAAAAAAGAATTCAAAATCAAGAGAAAAGGGAGAATTCTCGCAAAGCTCAAAGAGTAGCCTTGGTGAGTATAGTACTAGTACAAGCAACAGCGACGAGAGCAACACAAGCAGGCCTAGTTGTTGCAACAGACCCCACATGTCAAAGGATGTCAGATGGGAAGCTATTCGTCATGTTAAGATGCAAGATAAAGTCTTGGATTTGAGGCACTTCAACATCTTAAAGAAGCTCGGTTGTGGAGATATAGGGACTGTGTATCTTGCTGAGCTACTTGGTTCAAACTGCCTTTTTGCAATAAAGGTCATGGACAATGAATTTTTGGCAAGAAAGAAGAAGATGCCAAGAGCTCAAACTGAGAGAGAGATATTGAGAATGTTAGACCATCCTTTTCTACCCACACTGTATGCTCAATTTACATCAGATAATTTGTCATGTTTAGTTATGGAGTACTGTCCAGGTGGAGATCTACATGTCCTTAGGCAGAAGCAGCCTGGTGGGAGTTTCCATGAACCAGCAGCCAGGTAAGACATTTAGAAGAGTTTTGCATTTAGATTAGTATTAGTTCTGATGTTCTGGCTCCTAGATCTGCATTTTGCATAATCAATTACATGATAAGTGCATAATATGAACGCAATAAACAAGACAGAAACTTGACTAGGATCTTCCAGATTTTGGTCTCACTTCTAACATATGTTATCTTGTATGCATTTTTAATTTTGAAGGTAATATCAATTGTTGTTACTGCATTCTTGAGCTTTGACTGATTATTTGCACCTCCAAATATATTTTTGTCCGTTCTTTTGTTAATTTAAACTAAAGTTTGTGGGAGCAACAATTCTTCCATTACCCTTTGGGCAGTTCAGTTGCATGCCTAATTTGTTAGATTATCCAACTTTGATGTCTATTCGGTTGCAGCTTCGTGCAAGTCAAGAGATTAAGTGTCTATGTTACATCTAATATGCTAATAGCACCTTAAGGATTGTTATTCTCTTGGAGCCTGAGTATGACTATGAGGTTTGATGAAGTTGTCATCTATATGATTTTGTATGTCAAGTACTCATCTGTCTTTAATTTGGAGTTCCATTTTATGGCTTAGGAAAGTGTCTGTGGGCAGAGTTGTATTCATATTTTCTGCAAATTCCTGCAAAACAGCACTGCTTTGTTTGAGCCTAGTTTAGAATTTTCTAGGAGTTAGTTTATTTTGGTTCCTATTTTTAATGCTCTCAAATATTTCCAATAGTGAAATTTCAACTTTATCTTGATTTGTCCATGCCATCATTTTACCAGTCTGATGCTAATCTTCTCTATACGGTTCCAGTTTTATTGGATCTCTCTGAGAGACTGGTCTTTTGGTTTCTTTTGGAAAATTTCCTTTGTTAGAGGTAGCCCATAAATAATGTGGGTAATCTAGTTATTTTCTTAGTTTGGTCTGAGTTGGAAGGCATGTGAGTCTATTCGATGTACTCTCTTTATATTTTTCCTCTTTTTAATCCGTACTCTATCTTAGAAACTCTGTAGTTTTTATTCTCAAAGAATTAACCCTTATCACACAATGCCTTTCATCCAATAGCTATACATTCCCAATTTGTGCACTGCAGATTATCTTTTGTTTCTGTCCACAGCCCCCAGGGAACTTCCAAATTTCCTTCTTTTATTATTTTGTTCAACTTGTAGCCTTTCATGGTTGCCTTCACTGCTTTACATTTACAAATTCCATTTATCAACATAATCATCCAGCTTTTGCTTTCAAAGTATTGAAACAACAGTTTAATCACCCAACCCTACTCCTGATGCAAATTGTTAAACTTTTATTCTTATTTCCTTCCTTTGAATAGCTGCAAATGCTATCATCCACATCCCACCTTCAAACCCCCAATTTTGTAAATCCCACCACACAACAAGCGCATAGGGGCACATAGCTATAAGCTAAAAGTATTACTTCTATTCTTCAATCCATATTTCACCACCTTCTCTCCACCTCTCTCCAGCATCTTTTCATTGACAACATCGCCACATGTAACCAAGTAGCCTGTATTTTTCCATTGATATTTTTCTTTTGCAGAAAACGCCAAGATCTCTTAAATAAGCTTGATGCCATAAGTAACTCTATTTTCTGCTGCCACAGAATAGTATCATGAACTTGTCAATCTAGACTATATTCTTGGTCAGAGAAGTTTGTGGCTCAAAGTTTGTTTGCGGCCTATGTAACATATTATATTGTGCACAATCCACCTACAGCTATGGGTCATTTTTTTCATTCGTCCTGCTTTCATTTCCTTTGTGGTCTTAGATGTGGAAAACCAACACGAGAAACACCTTGCACATTTGATGGGATTCTTTTTCATGGCTGATAATTCAGCTTTTTTTTCTCATGTGATATTTTGTTACTGAACTTAAACTGTCATATATGTAGGTTTTATGTTGCTGAAGTTCTCCTTGCCCTAGAGTACTTGCACATGCTTGGAGTTATCTACCGTGATCTGAAACCGGAGAACATCCTTGTTCGAGAAGATGGCCACATTATGCTAACAGACTTTGATCTCTCACTAAGATGCAGTGTAAGTCCAACCCTTCTGAAATCACCTGATGGCGATCCTGTAAAGGTTTCTGGCCCATGCACTGAATCTAGTTGTATGGAACCTTTCTGCATTGAGCCGTCATGTCAAGTTCCCTGCTTCAGTCCTAGGTTTTTACCTGCTACGGCAAAAACAAGGAAGTTAAAAGCTGAAATGGCAACCCATTTGAGGTCATTGCCACAGCTTGTGGCGGAGCCTACTGATGCACGTTCAAATTCCTTTGTTGGGACCCATGAATACCTGGCCCCTGAAATTATCAAAGGAAAGGGTCATGGAGCAGCAGTTGATTGGTGGACCTTTGGTATATTTCTTTATGAGCTTTTATATGGTAGAACACCGTTCAAAGGTTCTTGCAATGAAGAAACATTAGAAAATGTAGTGTCGATGAGCCTGAAGTTCCCTGATAGTCCACTTGTTAGTTTTCAGTCAAGGGATCTTATATGGGGATTGCTGGCAAAGGATCCTGAGAATCGGTTAGGAACAGAGAAAGGTGCTGCTGAGATCAAGCAACACCCTTTCTTTGAGGGCTTAAATTGGGCATTGATAAGATGTGCAATTCCACCGGAGCTACCAGAATATTATGATTATGGATTTTCATATCCGTCCTCCAATGAAAATAGCAGCAAGTATTTGGAGTATAAAGCTACTGGTGAGCACCTTGAATTTGAGTTGTTCTAAATGTGGTTTTTCTCCTTCACTGTTGTAACTATAATGGAGCTTACCATGTAAATTTGATTGAGAATATTGTGGTATAGCAGTTATTTGTGGCATGAAAGTCACTTGGCGGCTGAGCAATTGAGTCATGGCTTAAGGGAGGCAATGATGGACCATTTGTCCAATTTCATGAGCCCTCTTAAGACCAGATTTTGTAACATCAAATTATTCATTTAGCTTGTACATGTCCTTCCTTCAAGTTTTCTTCTGTTAGTTTCGTCTTCGGCCATGGCTCCATAAAAAAGCTGATCCTTTCCTTTTCCATTTTCTGCTTCCTAGTAAATATATGAGCCAGATCTTTTCATCTGATTTTGAGTTAATCTTTTGGCTGCAATTAGATTACGTGGTTTTAAGAGTATTTAGGCTGTTTTAAGAGTATATTACGCTTAGAATGCATAATCTTGTATGAAGGCAAGTAAAACGTGCATTGCGCTCGTAAATTTTCTCTTTTATATTATATAATAATATTTTTTTTTAAAAAAAAAAATCTAGTTTTGATTGTCATAATTTATTATTACTTTTCTTAATTTTTTGATTGTAAATTGGTTTGATTTAATAATTGATTGTCTTGATAATTTTTATGGTTGCACATATATGTTTTTCGTCATATGTTAATTGTTGTTCTCACTTGTATTTTAATTTTATATATGTATAAACCTCTTATTAATGCACCATTTCTCTTAAGTAGTTATAAGTTTATCGAATGGTTTGAGTTAAGCTACAACTAGGGTTCTGGAGTTATTGATCTGGTCAAATAGTTAATGAAATGTGAAATTAATAATTAAATTTATATTTCTATAATATTTCCCTTAATTTAGTGTATAATTTACAAGATTTGGTGAAATTCGGCCGGCCGGAGTAGTTAGGGTGTGTCACAATCTAAATTGACATATCATCTATTTTACTTTATTTTTAGATATTTTTTATTAATATTTTTAATATTTTGAATATTCAATATTATAAATAATTAAATCCATTAGTTAATTGATATATATAATTTTTTTAATTCAGAATTTAAATGTTAAAAAAGGTAAAATTATTTTTTAAAATAAAATATAAAATAAATAGATAACAAAATATAATACTTTAGTATTGTTGAATCAGTTAATATTATTTTACTTAAAAATTCATTATTAGTGATTAATACTTTAGTATTTCATTCTTTTTTTGTGAGTATCATCATGAATACTAGTTTAGTATTCCATATTATTATTATCTCTTATAAAATCATTTAAAATTTAGTTCATGTTTTTATACATGAAATAATTATTAAGTCAATAAAAACATATTTTTGATAACAAAATTAAAAATTATTGATAGCAAAAATAAATAAATTCTAGATAGTTAAAAACAATTAAAATTAAATATATATACATATGTATGTCAAAATTTTTCTATAATGAGATTCTAATTTCTAATTTCTAATTAAAATGGAATAAAACTTCTTGATTAGTATTCCTAATATATAATTAATTTAATATAGTTATAATTTTTTAAAAAATATAATTTATAGTATATAAAATAATATGTCGTCAACTTACCCTAAATATAATTTATTATAAAAAAATATATATCAACTTATCCTTAATAGAATATATTTATTGTAAACAAATATTAATTATTTATTTATACTAATGAAACGTAATAAGAAACTAAAATAATATGATAAATGAAAATTATAAATAATATTTATATAATCACTTGGTCTCGTTTGATATAATTAATTATATTATTATTGTATGTTTATTATAATCTTATTATATTAAAAAATAAATGTGTATAAAATGATATATTATTTAAAATAAAAAATTTTTATCGCATTTTGCAATAATATAATGACACATAGAGTTTTATATTTAAATATATTAACTAAAGAATTTATGTTTAAATAGAAAAACTAATAACCGATCATAAATAAATTATCTTTATTTTCAATTAATAAAATCAATCCATAAATTTAGTAGGTACACATATACTAAGTAAAAAATTATTATTTTAAATAGAAAAATTAATAACCAATTAAAATTAAGTCACCTTTATTTTTCAACCAATAGAATCAATATATAATTTTAGTAAGAGTGTATATACTACCTAAAGAATTTATATTTAAATAGATATGATAATTTTGATGTCTAAACTTTCATTTATTTTTTCTATTTCGATGTCCGAACGAAATATTATCAATCGAATTTTCAAACTTTTTAATATTTGCAACCATGTGTCTTCGACAAATTTTGATAGCCAAAACACAGCTGAGCAGCTGGGGGAGCCATTTTAGCTAGCGCCGACATGGTTAAATTTTTTCCACACCTCATGACACATCGACTCCACCTCATCAAGATATTCTAAATTCCCCTTATACCCTTCATTTAATGCACCAAACCTAACATGACAGCTTTATATTGAAGTTGTTTTCTTCTTCCTAGGCTTTAAAAAGTTATATGTGAATTTGGAAAGACATTAGGAATGAAAAGAATGAATTGTCGCTATTGTAGAATGGAATGCGATGGCCAGTTAGGACTTCATGGATGGAGTGGAATCCTTGAAGGCATTTTGTTGCTTGCGAAATTCAATTGGTGAATTAATCTTCATTTTCCCTATTTTCAGCAATATTGATCATAAAATATAATTGATAAATGAAAGCTTCTTTTTTCCAAGGTTCATATAAACCATGGGTGTGACTTATTTGAGTGGAGTGATTTTGCATTATGTACACGATCGAAGAGCATTATACCTAATGATTGAAGAGAAAGAAGGAGATGAAAAAAGAGTTAAAGGAGAGGGATGAAGAGCTATAGAGAAGCTGGCGACGCGAGAAAATTCTATGGTTGTGTCTTATTGTTTGTATGATAATTATTATATTCAAATGAATAGAAAACTTGTCTCAGTATATTGGGGAGTATATTGTGGGTTTGTTGTGGCGTTTAAGATAGAAAATATATTGGTTTTTTGAGACCCGCATGCACTGTTTGTGATGTAGTTATGTGATGTTGAATGATAACAAGAAATTTCGTTCCTAAGTTATTTGGCCACCATGTATTTGATGAAAGTTTTAAAAGAGAAATTTTCTCAATTTATCTTATCACAAATCACTGAAATTTCAAGCCTTGTACTGTAATATTCCATACTTCCACAAGTCAATATAAATCACAATGTATCATAAAATTCGCAATCGTTTGCCTTTGAATTAATAATATGTCATAGGACATTGCAATTAACACAAAAGATCCATTCATTCATAATATCGTAGAATAACAAAAAGATCCATTCATTCATAATAACAGAGAATAGAAAAATATGTCAATTTGATATTGTCAACTTCACATATAGTTACAAAATATTTTTTATGGAGCTGTCTTATTAAAATAAAATAGTACAACATTGTTTTTCAATAAAAATATTGTCACTGAGATGTCGTATTTGTGATGGATTCCTAAGTCTACAAGACATCTTATTGCTCTAAAGATGCCAAGTTACTGGGGGCTTCATCTACCGTTTTTTCTTTGATGATTTTGGCCTCATACTATCAATCAAAGCTTTCTTGGATTTTCTCTGGGAAGCAGAAGCTTGAGCCCTTTTCAGATTGTTTTTTTGCTTCTATTTACATCAAACAAGAGTTTTATTCATCACCAAATGTAACCATCCTAATTTAACAAGTGGTTAATGTGCTAAGTTGTATGTTTACCTCCAACAATGTTCTTATGACATACTAATTTTCCTTTTCCATAATCCTAACTTAACAAGTAGTTAATGTTGTTGAGTTCTATGTTTACCTCCAATTGTGTTCCTTGTTGGGTTTCAATATCAATTATACGCAATGGAATAAGATAATTCTAGCAAAATAATTATCCCAACAAGGATCCGTTTAAATGATTAAAGCAAAAAAATTGTTTAGAAGAATACTTCTTTTGCAGATTTTTCGAAACTTCGATCTACGCGGCTAGGTTGTCTCAAACCACAAGTCGTCAAAGTGTCCGACCTCTAGTAGTATCCATACGAATAGACAATCGAAAAACTCTAAAACTATTTTAAAGGGTTTAGAGGTTAAAGAGTATGATGATGTTAGTTATATTATGCTCTATGTTTAGTTTTGTGACTATGAGCAACAACTAAAACAATCTTTAGACTGTCTCTTAAACCTTATATATGAAAACCTTAGGTCATAAATAAATAAATTATAATTATTTATTTAAACCTTTTAGATAAACTAATATTAAGAATGTGCTTTGCACATAAAAACTCGTTGTACTTACCTGTTTTTTGTTTTTTATTTATAAATATAGTTTATTGATTTTTCTATAATATAATAAAAATGATAATAAATTATTGAATAAAAAAATATTAATTAGGTGTTTTTTAATCAATATTTTACTATAAGTATTATAATATGTATGTAGACAAAATGAATCTTTTTAGAGTAAATCTAACTTATTAAGATGTGCTTTGCACATAAAAACTCGTTGTACTTACCTTATGTCTATTTTGTTTTTGTATTTATAAATATAGTTTATTGATTTTCATTAATATAATAAAATATGATAATAAATTTATTGAATTAAAAAGAATATTAATTAGGTGTATTTTTTAATCAGATATTCGTACTTATAAGTATTTATATATTGTATGTAGACAATATGAATCGAATTTATAACATAAAATTCAAATTGAATGAATAAAAATAAACACTTATGATTTGAGAACAATATGGAAAGTAAAAATATTTATAACTTCAAAGATAAAATACTATTTCTTTAAAATTCAAGAAGTAAAATGATAAGACAGAAAAGTTTTTGACATATTAATAGTATAACCTATAGCCAAAGAAAAATATAATGGTACTGGTGATTTTTTTCTGTAAGTATTAGAACATTATATTGATAGTCTATAATAAATTGGGTATTTTTAATAGATTGTTCTTAATTGATTCATTGTAACATCCCTTCTCTGGTCACCTCGTTAACCCGAATGAGCCGAAGCCGAGACGCTACAATCTGGTTGAACTTATATCACTGTCATGCTTGATTCATTCCTGTATGTCCTTTAAATATGAATAGTTAACACTCCCAATAAACTTTCAAACTTTCTAATATTTCTCAACTAATCATCATAACACAACAACACTCATATATTATATTAGTCGCATACTGGTATAAATCCTCCAAGTAGCATTTAATATCCAGGCAATAATGCACTTCATGATCATATATCAAGTTCTTCATTGACCTAATCATACAATATAGTAAAATATGTAAGGCATTCTCTCCAATACCATACACCACACTTAATTACATGGCTTCAATTTTATT